AGAAGGAACAGGCTCACTCTGACACAGCTGAGCGTGTTCCTGGCCCTTTCTGCCACCATTACTGAGTGTCACCATCCAGCTCGAGTGGGAAAAGTAGGAATGGCTCTGTTTTCCTGACCAAGTGCCCCAAAATCAGTGCTCTTTGCCAAGCACCAGCCCTGCTGTGCCTGTGAGAACGTTCCCTGAGCTTCTTTAGGAGGCCCCAGGTGGGTTAAGGCAGGACCCTCAAGCGCAGCCCGGTTTAAAGTTGGCTTCAGCTGTTTATTCCAGCGGGGGAATTAACCCAAAACGAGTATTTCCAGGTTAAGTGTGTGCATCAGGAGTGTGGGGTGCAGGCTCCGGGAAACCTGGCGAGTTTAGAGGAGCGGGGACACCGGAAAACAAATTTCCACTGTCTCCAGAAAGCCAGTTCTGCTCGGAGAGAGGACACAGACTGTCAGAGCTGAGGTCTTTTCAGTCAGGGAGACCCGTGGTCATCAAAAGCAGGAGGCTGAACAAGCTCAGCTTAACCAGGAGCTGTCTGGAGAGTTAAACCCAGCAGCAGCCTCAGGGGAGGCAGCCTGGAAGGCAGCAGTGCCCGTGCCCTTTGAGATACAATTCCAGCCTTTTTCCCTAATGAACAGCAGGCTAAATCAAAGCCGGGGCAAGGCAGGGCACAAAGAGCAGCTCCTGTGGCTGGATATGCCCCGAGGCAGCTGCTTCCACCAGAGAATTTCAAAAGCAATTGATAGTCATAGCATCGCTCTCTTCCCGGGAGCCCGAGGGGAGAAAACTTCCCTCCTTCCCTCTATGAGTTTATGAGAACGCTTCCTGTTTAGTTCTCTGTTCAAAGGATGGAATAGATAAGGGAAAAAATCAGCAAAATAACTCGCTTTAAATCTTGCATTGTCACTTCCCAAGCAACAGCCAGTTTTAAATGGCTACTGCTGTGTAAAATAAAGAGAAGAATTTGCTTTATTAGCTGAGAGATGATGGTTTATTATCTCTCAGGAATATGAGAAGTCTGAAACTGAAATGCAGGTCCAGGAAGGTATTTAAGAGATAGAATTATTGCTTTTGCTTTGTAACCAAAAATGAGAATTTGTTCCAAAAATTATTTTTTTGGGGGGGAGGAAATGGACACATATCATTCCAGCTTTCCTTTGTCTTTCATCCCTTGGGGGATGAAAGTTGGGGGGTGGAATTGGATGATCTTTAAGGTCCCTTCCAACCCAAACCATTCTGTGATTCCATGATCCCCTCCAGAAAACAAAACTAAGGCAAGCAGGAATTTTCTGCTCTCTGTTAGAGAGTGGCCATTAAAGCTTTTTTTTCAGCAGATGGGAATTGTAGGGAAAGAAGGAGATGGGGCCACACTGCTGGGAATCGGGAAATTTCTTAAAACAGCTTTGCTACCATCACAAAAAAATTCTGGGGAAGAGGGAAAGAAGAGCTGGGAGAGGTTGTGCTGCAGGTTGTGCTGCTCTGAGGGAAGCAGTGATAGAGGGAAGCAGTGCTAGAGGGCTGTGGGGTGTTATTGATACTCAACACCTGGATGGCAAAGAGAGGGAGGAGGGAGGAGAGGGCTCTGACTCAGCCTGGAAGAGCTCACAGTTATCACTGGGATTGCAGGAATTTGCTGTGGTCACAAAAGTTGTTCCCAGAGGTGGAAGGACCCAGTGGGTGTAGAACTGGGAATGTGTTACACAGCTGTGTGATCTGGCATATTTTAAATACTTGAGTACCTTCAGGAGTGCCCAAGTGTTTATCTCCTCTTAAAATATTTTATCTCTTCCCTTTCTGGGGTTTCCCAAGACTTGGCCTGAATTACTGAAATCGGTTTGGCTGTCACGCCTTCCCTTGTCCTTGCCCTCTTCCCTTTCCCTCTTGGAGCTGTTCAGCAGGCATTTTTCAAGAGCACATCCCGTTTCACAGAGAGCCCTTTGTTAGGCACCAGGGCTTGGTGTCATAACTTGAACTGAGTCCTTGGGCAAGAGCATGAAAAGAGTCTTTTAACGCCCCTGGCTTTAGTTTTAATAGGGAACAACATAATCAGTAGGTGGAAGTGACTTTTCATCTTAAGAGCTGCAAAGGGGTAAGATAATTCTGAGATAATTTTAGGGATGGGGCACTTGAAGACACAAGTGCTGCTGTTGCTGCTTGGAAGCAGGTCAGTCCCTTTTCCTGCCTTACAAGGAGTTGTTGTAGGGTTTTTTCCTTCTCCTGTTCTCCAGCTGAGCCTCCTCGTGATTTTGAAAATGATTTGATTATAGTTCATAAGAGAGTTTTTGTTCTGCCTGCAGATGCTGTTTTGGGAGACACAGTGGTGTGGGAGAGGCCTGGAGGTGCTGAGAACCTCCAGAGCAGCCAGCGCTGGGGAATGGTCCTGCTAGATTAGCCCTGCTTAAAAGGGAATTTCTCCAGGAATCACAGAACCATTTAGGTTGGAAAAGACCTCTGGGATCATCGAGTCCAACCTGTGACCCATCCCCACCTTGTCACCCAGCCCAGAGCACTGAGTGCCACGTCCAGTCATTCCTTGGACACCTCCTCCAGGGATGGGGACTCCACCACCTCCCTGGGAAACCTATTCCAATGTTTAATAACCCTTTCCAGGAAGAAATTCCACCTGAAGTCCACCCTGACCCTCCCCTGGCACAGCTTGAGGCCGTTTCCTCTTGTCCTGTCCCTTGTTCCCTGGGAGAAGAGGCAGGGATTGTTGGGATTGAGTGAATCTGTTCTGTGGTTTTGAGGAATATGCCAAGGCTGAGCTCAAAACCAGACCCTTCCCAGCACCCAAAGTGCACCTGCCGTGCCTTCTGTGGGACTCCTCTGGGAAAATCCAGTTATTCCAGTGTTATTTCAGATGCTTTGGTGTCCTGGTACCTTTCTGTTCCCTTGAACTGGCCTTACTACTTCCCTTTGCTTTGGAATATCTGTGCCCTGGAGCTGTGTTTGCACACCTTGGCATAGTCTGGGCTCTTCCTAAAATGGTTCAGCTTCTTCAACTCATGCAAAACCAAACAGAAATTTCAATGAAGGCGAAATAGCAGGAAAAGAGGAACTCCTGGAACATCTTTCCTTAATTGGAGATGTAGCAGAGGAGAGTAGGGGAGCATTTGTCAGGAGAACTTGGAATTTCGGTGTGGAAAACTGCAGTGGCAGGAGGCAGGACTTTGGGATCGAGCAAGGAATGAAGCCAGTGGCTCTTTTTCATAAAGATATAACTCAATTTTCTTACTTTCAAGGTTCTTTGAAAAGAAAGAGAGTTAAACACTTCCTTTATTTTCCCTTTGCATCAAATAAAGGAAGACTTGCCTTCAGCTTTTCCAGTCATAACTGTCTACAACCATTTTCTTGGACCCATGTGGTCAAACAATGCCCTTAACTGTGCTGTAGGTCCTAAATATTCAAAAATAAATACATTTATGCATCTGAAGTACCTGTCCAGCCAAACACAAAGATACTCTCGAGTCACACGAGCTTGTAAATGTAAATACTTTCCAACTGCTGCTGCCTTTTTCCTCGTGGATGACTCTGGAAGTTTCTACTGTTCTTCATGCAGGTTGGTGCCAAATTGCACAGCTCTCCTGTCATGGGACACTGGAAAAATGAAGGGAATTTAATCAGCTTGGTAAATAATAATGATGTTTAAAAAAAAAACCAAAACAGTAAAATCACAGCGTGGTCGTGTCTTGTATTCCAAAAATTAATTTTTTGCAGGGAAAAGGAGACGTGAGAACTGAAAGAGTAAAGAGGTGATAAGAGAGAACTGAGAATGAAACTTTTCCATATAATTCCTAGTATTTCTCATTTATATTGCCACAGAAGATGACCTATTTTTTGTTATTTAGTCTGTTCTACTCTACTCTTGGAAAAGAAAAGAAAAAAAAAGCTGAACTGCTTTAAAATACTTCTCAGGAAATTGCTGTTTGCAAATATAGTCTTTCTGCAGCTCCTCTTCAGCTTCAGTTCTAATAAGATTTAGGGTTTATATATATTTATCTGCAGCAGGTTCATTTGTGCTTCAGCTATTGCACCACGAATTCTGAAGATTAGGCTCCCTTTGCTCTGTAATCCTGCCTGGCTGGGGAGAAAGGGGAAACTCTGGCATCAAAACAGTGTTTCGTTCCAGAGTTGTAAGTCCTAATGGATCTCAGTATTCTGTGTCCTTGAATATTCCACTCTCAAGGGAATATAATTAATCTTATATTAATATCCAAAGAGATGGTGAGACTTTGGATAGTGGTGAGTGCCACACAGGCTTGGAATAAAATATTGATTAACTCCTGGAGAGTTTTAAAGACGAGTAAGAGCAGAATGAACCCACACGGGATAGTAAGAAGATAACGTGGATTATCAACGCGCACCAGCTTTTATTCAGACATAAATCCCTGCCCTACTTATTTTTCCTTCTTTTTCATCTTCAGAAATGCTCAAGACCAGCTGTATTTGCCCAACTGGGATAGATTTTCTCTCAGAGTTTCCAAGGAGTGTTGCTCTCACCGATACTCAAACCCATTATAAAGCGCCACGGGAGCACAAGACACCAGTCATTTTTTCCTGACTCGTTTTTTTTTTTCAGGCTTTGATTTCACAGTGCCTTTTTCTGATGGTTAGTGAAGAAATGACATATTTACTGTGCCTTCTCTGTGGTTACATGGTTACAGCCCTTTTCTGGAAGCCTGGGAAGTTGATGAGAATTTATATGACAATGGTAGCGTGCAGGTTGGGAGCGTTTTCCTTCTATGGATGCGCTCTGATGGTAGAACTGAAATTCCCCTCTGGGGGGTTTATCTGCTTAATTCCCTCTGCTTTTAATGCAAATCAAGGACATAAATGTGCCTTGTGAATCGCTGTCATTGTCCCCAGGCTTCTCGATCACCTGTCTTCCCAAAATACCTGATCATTCCAACAGAGAAACCAGGTTGTGTTACGGTTGTGACAAAGCTTCCTGTGAAACCCCCCTGCAAATGTGCTGGTTGCAGCTGTTGAATCCTGCTTTTTTTTTCCTTCCCCAGCCCTTCCACCCGATGGTGAATTTGGAATGCTCCCGGGATTTCCGACCCTTCCTGTGTGCCCTGTACGCCCCGGTGTGCATGGAATACGGGCGGGTGACCCTGCCCTGCCGCCGGCTCTGCCAGAGGGCCTACAGCGAGTGCTCCAAGCTCATGGAGATGTTCGGGGTGGCCTGGCCCGAGGACATGGAGTGCACCAGGTGAGAAGATCCGGGTGGGTTTGTTTTTTTTCCCTTTCACAATCCCAAGGTAAAATTTTGGCACCGTCTCAAACAGATGTTTTGCGTGTTTTCCACTGCGAGTGCCCGTGTTTTCCGTTCCGCTTCCCAGCCTGTTTCCTGAGGTGGGAACTGAGTTCCTCTTTCCATCACCTGCCCAAGAGTTGAAAACTGGCTGGGTTTGAGGAGTATAAAATCTCAAAACTCTGTTTTCAGAGCATCTACCTCTTGTTACAAATAACTTACAGAAAAAGCATTTGATGATGTTCCAAACTATTTGAAACAGAGTGTGCATGAAATTAAGAACAATATCTTCTGCTTTATTTTTTTTTTTATAAGTGACTCCAACAGTCAAAATACAGAACCACAAACAGGAATAAATAGTTTCTCTTACAGTTGGATCGGAGAGAAGGAAAAACAATGAAGAATCATTTTAGCAAAATAAGTCAGAGGATGCTTGTAGTGTGTGGAATCCCTCCAGTTTCTCCTTCAAGACTGTTCCTCCAGCAGTCCTTAACCCCCAGTCAGAGCTTTAATCAACAAATATCTTCATCATAATTTTGATTTATGAATGCTGGGTTGGATTTTTGGTGTAACCATCTCACTATCCTGAGAGCAGCAAGTGAAGTTGCTTAGGAAAGTCTTTAAAATGCTCTATAAAACCCTACTTCCATGGGTACATGGTCTCAGTTTACAGTGAGCCTAAATTTACAGACCTCCTGAGATGGATTTTGTACCCTCCCCTTTATCCCTACAGCCCCAGTGGGCTCCTTGTCCATTTATTTCTCTATTTAATTTTTAAACCTGTTTTGTGGTTTCGACATCCACTGCGCTCCGGGACAAGGAGCTCTGGAGTTTGGGTATAAATAGTGCAGTATTTCACGGACTACCCCTAACTTGGATTGTCTGTTCTCACTCTAGTTGGTGTGCCTGAAGTCACACCTAGAAATAAAGTTACTGTGCCTGAAGTCACACCTAGAAATAAAGTTACTGTGCCTGAAGTCACACTTAGAAATAAGGTTACTGTGCCTGAAGTCACACCTACAGATGAGGTTACTGATCTTTGCAAAGCACGTGGATATTCCTCGTAAACCCTCCTCTTCCCACTTTTCAGGTTCCCGGACTGCGACGAGCCATACCCTCGCCTTGTTGACCTCAGCTCGGCCGGGGAGCCCACGGAGGAGGCCCCAATGGCAGTCCAGAGGGATTATGGCTTTTGGTGCCCTCGGGAGCTGAAAATAGACCCCGACCTGGGCTACTCCTTCCTGAGGGTGCGCGACTGTTCCCCTCCCTGCCCCAACATGTACTTCCGCCGCGAGGAGCTCTCCTTCGCCCGCTACTTCATCGGCGTCATCTCCATCGTCTGCCTCTCCGCCACCTTGTTCACCTTCCTGACCTTCCTGATCGACGTCACGCGGTTCCGCTACCCGGAGCGGCCCATCATATTCTACGCCGTCTGCTACATGATGGTGTCCCTGATCTTCTTCATCGGCTTCCTGCTGGAGGACCGCGTGGCGTGCAACGCCTCCAGCCCCGCCCAGTACAAGGCGTCCACGGTGACCCAGGGCTCCCACAACAAGGCCTGCACCATGCTCTTCATGGTGCTCTACTTCTTCACCATGGCCGGCAGCGTGTGGTGGGTCATCCTCACCATCACCTGGTTCCTGGCCGCCGTGCCCAAGTGGGGGAGCGAGGCCATCGAGAAGAAGGCCTTGCTCTTCCACGCCAGCGCCTGGGGAATCCCGGGCACTCTCACCATCATCCTCTTGGCCATGAACAAGATCGAGGGCGACAACATCAGCGGCGTGTGCTTCGTCGGCCTCTACGACGTGGACGCGCTGAGATACTTCGTCCTCGCCCCTCTCTGCCTCTACGTCGTCGTGGGAGTCTCCCTCCTCCTGGCCGGGATTATCTCCCTCAACCGGGTCCGCATCGAAATCCCGTTGGAAAAGGAGAACCAGGACAAGCTGGTGAAGTTCATGATCCGCATCGGCGTGTTCAGCGTCCTGTACCTCGTGCCGCTGCTGGTCGTCATCGGCTGCTATTTCTACGAGCAGGCCTATCGCGGCGTGTGGGAGACCACGTGGATCCAGGAGCGCTGCCGGGAGTACCACATCCCGTGTCCCTACCAGGTGAGGAACCCGCTGTGACGTGTCCGTGGATGATGCAGTGTGGTAAGGATTACTTGTGCAAATGATTTGAGGATGGCAAGAACTTTGCCATCCCTGACTTTCAGTCATTAGGCCTTCTGGAAGACTTGGTGTTGTTGGAAAATCGGAGGCTTCCCTCCGCTGCTCGGTGGCTTTGGAATTTCAGGGCTGCGTGCGACCTATCAGGGGTATAAAGGTGCTATTTTAAACCGACTTCACCACCAGGACTTAATGAGTTTATTTGTGGTCGTTAGAGGAGTGTTGCTCAGGTGGGATTTTGGCTTTTAAACTGAGGTGTCGTCAGCTTGAACACTTGGTTTTTCTGGTTCTTGTCATTTGTCTGCAGTAGTTTTGATGCTTTGACTTGCCTGGAGGTTTTGTGCTCATTTTGTGTGCCAGAAAAACATCTGTATGAAATCTTACTTCAAGTATCTCCTGAAGAGAACCAGAGCTCACAGCTCATCGGGTTTCTTTTTTTTTTCCACTTACCTGCTCAGTTTAATTCAGTTATCACAGGAACAGCAGCCTCTAAGATCAAGCTGTCCCCTGGTTTATTCAGTTTTATTCTGAAATGAAAGTATCTTAGGTATTAAATTTCTTGAAACCTACTTTAGAGCCAAAGTGGGAAATTGTTTTTTGGAATGATTACATAGATCTTTTCTTTAACTTGTTCGAAAGGAACTCTATTTCCAGAAGGTTTTACGGCAAATATCTGCACCTACAGGGATACTAAAGATTAGGATTTTGGCTCTGAAGCAGTTAAAACACCAGCTGAATCATCAGAGCTCACATTTTAATGCAATAAAATATCACTTAAAGGTTTGACTTAGGCATGATAATAATCCTTTTATTACCTTTTAACCCTTTCTGTTGTTTTCCCTGTTGGCTTTTATTAGGGTGGGACTCTTCCACCCAACGTTGGAGCGTTTTTATGGCAGGAAATCTCTGGCAGGGGGGATGTGCAGTTTCATGGGTTTGATTGAGTCTTCCTCGCTGCAGGTTTTAATATGTTAAACTGCTTAAAAAAAAAAGAGGAAAAAAGGGGCTGTGTGGCTTTCTCTTGTTGATTTCAAACAAACACCCACCATACGCAAATCTAAAATTCCTATAAGAACCTACAAAACCAAGAGGGTTTTTTTGCTCCCTCAAAATATCGAACAAAAACTGTTTCAAACACAGCTGAGGGCTGAAATCCTGGCCTGTGGAATAACAAAATCCTTGTAGGGAAGTGCTCCTCCAATCCCCAGCAAACCGTTGGATAATGGCTCAGCAGGAGTCAAAAGAACAATAATGGTTTCATTCACATCAAATTGGGTTGAAGGACCCAGGGACCCCGGGGAGCATTAGAAGGGTTTTTTTCTTTTAACCCGTCCATTTAGGGTTGTTTTATTTTTCCCCCCTCAAACTAAACGTGCTTCCCTAATTAAACAATCCACAGTTATAATTGAAACAGATTTCCAAAGCTGGGGGGGAGGAAGAGGGGGGGAAATAATTTTGTCCTTAGATCATGCCAGTGAAATACATTGTTAAATTGGGGGAAAATTTGGAGCTTTGTGGGGAGTATCCCTCGCTTCCTAAACAAGATCGTATTTTTATCAGAAATTCACGTTATTTGACTCAACTCCAAATCTCTGAGTGCCTTTCCTGAGGCCAGACTATCCTAAATTTCGAGCTGGAGTTGGCTCCACGTGGATTTTAGGGGTTCATGTGCAAAGCTTGCCCAGGGTTGTGGTGGTTGGGCCCTTTTCTTTTTCCCCGACACCAGCGAATCCGAGGTTAAAAATCCCCGAGTCCGTTCAAGCGTTGCTTCGTCTTTGCCACCAGAGATGATGGCACAGTAATTTATTCTGGAAAATGGCTGATGGTGGGGGGGTGAGGGGGTTGGAATATGCAGCTGCTCCAGCCCTGCCTCCCTCCTGCGTGACTGCTCCGTGTGGGAAAGACCACGGGGTTAATCCTGTGCTGGATTCTCCTGGATGCTCCTGGAGCCAGAGCTGGTATTCCAGTGAAAACTCGTGTTTGGCTTCCTAAAGGGATAAATAATCCCAAAAAGGAGTGAACAACTAGATGCCTGTGTGCCTCCACCTTGGTTTTTGGCTACCTGGATGTTTCCAGGCTTGACCCGGATACACATTTTCCTGGTTATTTGGCAGATCTGGGAAGTGTCCGTTGCTTTCCATGTGAAATAAAATCTGTTTTTCCACAAAGACGGGGAATCAATATCCCAGTATTCCAGCTCTTTGAGGAGCAAGTGGAAGGCCAAAAGGAGCTCATGTTACCTTAGCTTGCCCTTGGTGTCCTCCACACTCCCAAGTTTCTGGGAGAGAATAGGAAAGAGGGGAAGGGTTTGTAGGAGCTGTAGCAGCTCTGTGACCACATCCCAGTCCTCGGTTTTCTAAGGATCATCCTTTTCCACCCCTTGCTATGGGCAGGGACACCTTCCACTAGCCCAGGTTGCTCCAAGCCCCATCCAACCTGGCCTTGGACACTCCCAGGGATCCAGGGGCAGCCACAGCTTCTCTGGGCAACCTGTGCCAGCCCCTCCCCACCCTCCCAGCCAAGAATTCCTTCCCAATCTCCCATCTCTCCCTGCCCTCTGGCAGAGGGAAGCCATTCCCTGTGTCCTGTCCCTCCATCCCTTGTCCAAAGTCCCCCTCCATCTTTCTTGTGGTCTCCCTTCAGAAATGAAAGGGGAAAATAAAAGCAGGGAAGTGGACATAATCCAATCATAAAATAATCACATTTAGTCATCTCTTGGTTCAAAATCCATGTTTGCTGCTCCTCCTCCTAATTGTGTTTGGGGAAATAATTCCACATGCTCCTATGGCTGTTCAGTGTGGTAGCAGGATCATCCCAGGGCTGTGTCCAGCCAAATTTTGAATTCCTGTTGCCATAAAAGCTGTAATTCCCTTTCCATCAGCCATCTGACCTCGGGAATAAAGTGAAAAGTTGGGTAAATTGGAAAGGCAAAATTTGAAGTGTGTTTGGCTGCTGTTCCATATCTGTGTCCTGCAGGAACCATGGTGGTTTCTTCCTCACAGGGAGAGTGTCAGAATTTTATTCCTCTTGGAAATTATAAAGGCAACCAAACTTGGCCTTTAACATAAACATGGTGACCTGACCCCAGTCTGTGAAAACAGGTCTCAAAACTGGGATGGATTTGGCTAAAAAGTGAAACAGATGCTCACAAAAGCCTGTCCCCAGAGCTGGTTGTAATGTACATTTCTCTTATGAAAAGTAGGAGATTAAATGGTCCAAAAAAAATCAGATTTCCTGCAAAGTCAAGTAAGTTCTGAGTTAAGATTAATTTCTCTCAAATCCAAATGTAAATGGACTCTTCCTGGTTTCCATGAATGCTTGAGGGCCAGGCTGGCAATGGGTTGATGGGAGAGATTCCCAATTTAGATACTGATGAGAGAGAAAAAAAAAAAGAAAAATAAACTATTTCAAAGGCTTTTGCTGCCCTAATGGGAGTCCTTGAGGAGTGGAATTAATTATCTTTGCTTGGGATCTGATATTCATCATTTCCCTGCTCCTGGACTAAAAGGCCTCAGTGGTACCTTGCTGGGAGTGGAGGTGGTGCCCCTGCTTGTGTTTTCCATGTTATTTGGAGGAATGGAAGCAGATGTGGATTTACTGTTGATGGGGAAGACCTGGCGGCGAGGTGAGTGTAGAACAAATTCAAACTCTGATTTTTACATCAGAAATCCTCTTTTATTTCCCATTAGGAGCTCGATTTTGTGCTGGATGCTGAATATCCATCGTTTATTCCATGTCAGGTGCCTCCACTATCCCAGGTTTCTCCAAGCCCCATCCAACACTTGGACACTTCCAGGGATGGGGCATGATTTGTACCCGACTTAATTAATTATCTGTTTTAAGAGGTCACATTTGCTCTTGTTTGGTATTTTTAGTTTAGGATTTTTGCCACAAAGTTCTGGGGACGTTTTTTGGGGGGAAGGGGCAGGAGAGACATGGAGGTTTTTTGCAATCAGTCCCCTTCAAAAATCAGAATAAAGCCTCAACACCTTTTAAACTCACTTTGTAGATCCTGACGAGCCTTGGTGTGAATCTTTCTAATCATTCCAGAAAGAAAATTCAGGAAGAGGCTTTTTTGCCCATTTTTCAGGAAAATTCATAAATAAGCACTGGAATTTGGGAATCCCATGGACAGATAGTTTTGCTTTGCTAAGAGTTTTATAAACATGCTCCAGCTACTGCTGGAGAAGACTTTTTCCTGCAGGAACAATGAGCACAACCCAACTCCTTTTCAAAAGTAATTTTAACCGAGTTCTTTGAAGCAGCTACTGAGCTTATCTCGAAATCTTCTCTATTTTTCCTTCTGATCTTTGCTTTAAAAAGATTAAACCCGCCTTGGTGGTTGTAAGAACTTAATTATTCAGGTGATGTAATAGCGACTATCGTTTTTATCAGCAGCAAAAATAGACAATCCAGCCCATTTTTTTTTTCCCCTCTCCGGCGTTTCATTCCAAGTCGAGGCTCCGGCCTTGCCCGTGCGGGGAAGTTTTAAAGGTGTTTTTTTTTTTTTGCTGGAGATGGGAGTTCTCAGCCACTCCCTCCTGGTGGTGGCTGCTGTGGGTGGAGAAGAGGATGGATTGTGGTTGCCTGGGATATCAAGGAACGTTTTGTTCGTGGCACCTCTTGTCTGTGAGCGCAGAGAGATGGACCCGGGGCAGGCACAGAGGAGAACAAAGTACCCACCTGCCAATATATTGCTGGTAATGTTAAAACTATAACGCAGTGGGGGTTATTTTAAACATCAGAGAAACGGATTTTAATATCAGGATTGGGCTCTTGTCACCTGCTGATAATTTTGGCTCAGTTTGTCGCTCTTCTTGTCTCCCGTTTTCACAGATTTGATCTAATAGTGGTTAATTTTCAAGATCATTTTGGATGTGGCCTCCCTGCCCACGGCTCTGAGCAACCTGGGATAGTGGAAGGTGTCCCCTGCCCGTGGCATG